AAGTTTTACACAATAAAATTTAAGAAAACAAAAGAAAAAATTTAAAAAATTGTGTTCTGTAAGAAATGACAGACATAATAAAAATTATTGCAACACTAGTTTTCGGTTAAGGTTATGTTTATTTTCATGAGACAAAATGGCGTCTGGCGCACGTAAGCTTACGAAATTTACTGTAATCACTTCCGTGTGGCAAGTGCAAACGTCGAAATTGTCGACGGGAGGCGGCGCGAGACGAGACTTAATGATAATTTTCATTGCGCGTGTTTTCGTGCAAAATAACAACTTCTAACCTACAAATACACACACAACCACGTCTCTAGTCACTTATTCGTGCTATGCAACCAAACGTACAAAAAAATGATTAAATAAATAAATTTCGCTGATTTTACAAATTCATGACGATGACGCTCTCCCCTTTTGAGAGATAATATAATGTGTGATTGCAGCGAGTTGAAAAAACAAACGAAAAGTCATGACGCTGGAAATGTAAGCGAATAAGAAACGACGGTAAATGCGAAACAAATCGCGTATAAATTGCGTTTGCAGCTGGCGCTCCGGCGGCGGCTGAGCGTAATGCAAATGCGAAATTCGAAATGCGAAATTCCAAATTGTAATGTTGCATTAAAGTGTCTCGTGTCGTGCGTCTCCCATCGCGTTCGCAACAGATTTGAATTCTCTTCGAATGTTTCAAACAATTCGATTTCGCTCTCCCTCTGCACTCACGCGACGATCGCTTACGACTTGATCCGAAACTAGACGATTCAATACGAGCTCGTTTACGTTTTTACATGTTTCAACATGTAGATATCTTTTTTCGTGTCTGTATCGCGACGATTCGAAATCGATGGCAAGACGGAAGCGGCGGAATGAAATTTTCAGCGTCGTTACGCTCGTTACACTCATTCGATATGCGCATGAATTAAATTAGAGTTTAGATATCGATTCGGACGGTCGTTCACAAGCAATGTTTAAATATTGAAGTTTTTAACGTATGCAACCCAAAGTACACGATGTATTATAACCTTAGATTAGTAATAAGAACATTTACGAATCGTTTTTGGTTATTACATGATACTAGGACGTTATTAGCTAGTAAAAGTTTTGCGGATTGAAAGTTTCGAAAGACGTGCGCGATAATCGCGCGGAAATGCGCGCAAAGTAGTTGCAAATGAACGTCGACACTTTTTGTGACTGCGCGCGGGCGCTGAAGCGCACATATTAGAGAGGGCGCTGAATACGCGATGGCGGACACCTTAATTAAAACTTTTTAATTACGATCTCGCGTTCGGGCGGCGCTTCTAATCCCCACTGCGGCTCGATAAAACGGAACAGAATGAAGAAGGACTCAGGAAGCAGATTGCTACTGACTTTTATTTCAAGTTTTCGTTCAAACTTCACATTTTTATTTCATACACTCACAAATTTAAATTTAAAGAAAAAAAAAATTAGAATAATTTATATACAGCGTGTTTTTATTTTAAAAATATTTTGATTAAATTTCTAAGAGTTTTGGGGATATTTGTATCCAATTGGAATTGCGAGTCCTAATTCGTTTCCAATGAGCCATAGTAGACCACAAATTCCACCCTGGTTACCCGCTGCAATGTCCGCCACCTCGTCGCGATGGCAAAAACTCGTCGACAGCCTGACGCTGTGACCCTAGGGGCGCAAATTGCGACGAGTGGGATTTGCCGAAAAGCAAGAAAACACAAAAACATGGAATAAATGTCACATTTGGGAAATCAGACGAGGAAAAATCAATTTTCATTAAAAACAACAACATAACCAAACAAATTAATACAAATTTTTGTTTTTAACATTTTTTAAAAACTTTTTGATGATTTTTTTGAAGTTTTGATGATTTAATTATGTACAATTAATAATGTATTAATTAAAGGTTTAATTTTAAACAATTTGTAACAATTGCTGATTGTTTGTAATCATTCGCGATTATGCGCGCGCCAGTTCACAAAGTCATATCAAATCGCAATTAACGCGGGCGTTAATTAGAGTGTTAATTATGCAGTGCACAATCATTGCACTCGGCGAGTCATAATGCGGCTCGTTTTTGGTATGGATGCGCGTGGATAATTTTCGGGCGCGTCCGGTCGTTATCAAATATCCAATTGTCATTTTCGTGCGTTCATTACACAAAGTTCATTATTTGATTAACTCCATGACATGAAAAATCGGTATAATTACAGGAAACTGTATTTTTTTGCGATTCAAACGCCATCTATCAATATATGTCTACAAAATAATTTCAAAATAGGTTATGGGTCAAGAATGGGAGGCCAAATAAACTAATTTTATGATTTGATTATTTTTCCAATAAAAAATCAACATAATTACAGAAAACTGTAATTTTTTACGAAAAATTACGCCATCTATCAATAACTATTTACACAATTAACACAAAATAGGTTATGGGTCAAGAATATGAGGCCAAAACAACTAATATTTTGATTGGATTATTTTTACGACCAAAAAAATCAACATAATTACAGAAAACTGTAATTTTCTGCCATACCAACGCCATCTATCAATAAATATCTCTACGATACTAAAAAAATAGGTTATGTGTCATGGATGAAAGCCAAAACAACTAAAAATCACAAAAATTACAGGAAACTGTATTTTTTTTATAATTACGCCATCTATCAATAAATAATTACAAAATCGTGAGAAAATAGGTTGTGTGTCAAGATTAGGAAGCAAAACCACTAATTTTATTATTTGATTAACTTTCTAACCACAGAAATCAGTATAAATATAGAAAACTGTAATTTTTTACGAGAATTAGGCCATCTATCAATAAATATTAACACAATAAACACAAAATAGGTTATGGGTCAAGAATGGGAGGCCAAAACAACTAATAATTACTTTTCCGGCAAAAAAATCATCATAATTACAGAAAACTGTAATTTTTTTCGATACCCACGCCATCTATCAATAAATATCTCTACGATGGTTACAAAATAGGTTGTGTTTCATATCTGAGAACCAAAACAACTAAAAACAACAAAAAATCACCAAAATTACAGAAAACTGTAATTTTTTATACTTACGCCATCTACAAGTGTATCTCTATACAATATGCACAAAATAGGTTGTGTATTCTCATTGGAGGCCGAAACAACTAATTTAATTTTATATTTTGATGCACCATGGATACAGGACGATACCTACACGAGTGTGCTGCAGGCGTGTGGAGTGTAGTTGAGTTTGCCAAGGAGCTCGCATGCTGTCAATCAAACGGCGGGCGAGTGCACTTCAAACGAGCGTCGAGCGCGCGTCTGTCTTTGACGCGCCGCCTCCACCCCAGCCCGGCTCGTCGAGGGCTTAATATTTTATTGCGCGCCGCTTCTTCTTCGGCACGTGCATTCAATTCACTTAAAATCTACTCGACTATTTACACACGCACAAAAATACGAACATATGAGCAGTTGCTAGCACGGGGAAGAAAAGAGCAATAAGTAAGCAAAAATATTCATTTAGGTAGAAATAAAAATTTTTATTCGTATTCATTAGAAATATTTATTTTTGCACATAAATATTGCGTTGGGTTTATTAATTTTATTATTTTCTTGTTTTTTGCATATTTTTGAGTAAAAATGTCCATTTTATCAATAAAATTTGAAATTTTTTATTGAAAAAAATGAGAAATGCTAATAATGCACTTTAGCGCCATCTGGGATTCAATTATTGCACTATAACTATGAATAAATCACCAAATAAATGTTCATCCCTTATTTAACACCCTGTATATAATAATTTTTAATATTTTAATAGTTTTTATCTTATTCAGGACAAAGACGAATCCAACGAATCATTGATCATTAAAATCTGTCAAACCGTTCTTGAGTTATAAACGTTGTAACTAACATAATTTAGTTTTATATCCCATAGATAGCGCTATATTAATTTTAAAAATTTCATACTCTTAATATATACGCAGACATATTTCGTCATAATAATTTTATGACAAAAAACAAAGTTTTGCACTTATTTTCCTTAAAAGAAAATTTAAATCCAAGCATTTTTTCGACGTTATTTTGTTATGCATTAAAGTGTGCGAGCGTTAAAAGTTTGATGTTGCTAATAAAAGGCTCGCGCGGCCATTAAAGCAATCAGTACGCCGCTACAATAACCCCACGAACAAACTTTATTTAGATATACAGTGTGTGCGTGGCTGTTGACCGTAGTAACTTAAAAATTGAGCTCATAAACGTAGAAAAATACTTAAACGACGAACAGAAAAAAAAATCGGACATAAAGGCTTTTAACGATGAGATTAAAACGATGCGCGAGTGTCACACCGTGCCGCTAATGTTGCAAAGCGGATACGTGTGAAGACATTAAACGTTCATGTCATCATTATAAAATCCAATATTGTCGGGCGAGCAGTGAGCGCGCACGTAGCCGAAGGTTTATTCGACGTGCCGACACGTCACTGGTTTATTCTACGAGTAGTCGGAATGTCTATAGTTCTATATGTACAATTCTAGTTTGGAAGCCATTTTGAACTTTTTTCTTATTTTTTAGATAAAGTAACTTGATTGGTTTATTTTTTGATTTAAAATGAAGATTAGTTTGGTTAGATCCCTACTTAAATGCTAATAACGCTAAAAAGCGTAATAAGTTGCCTAAATTCCGTGAGAAAAATTAAAATTTTTACTAAAATAAACGTCAAAAATAGGTTTACATCACTAGGGCGATAAAAAACTTGAATTTTTGCTTTAAATTTTTTAAACAATGTGAAAAATATTAATAATGCACTTTAGCGCCATCTAGATTTGTTGAATAGAACTATAACTATGATTAAATCTCTTTACCAACTTTCATCCCTTATTTTATACCCTTTTAGATTTATTTTTACAACAAAAAGTAGTCTATGTCTTCTTCCAAAGTCCAATAATATATTTAAACCAAAATTTATCAAAATTCATTCATTGGGTTTCCCTTGAAAGCGTCACAAACAAACAAAAACACAAACATTTGTATTTATAACATTATAGATCAACAATTTTTATTAATTGATTTAAGTGCGCATTTCTTTAGTAATTATAAATTTAACTTTTGGTAAATCTAAGCGCTAATTCAGTTAACTCGTTTTTCCAGTCTGGAGTAAACATTTTTACCGTTAGACGAAACGTTGCTTTCGGAATCATACTAAAAATGGGCACTCTGCTAAAATCAATTGTATACCAATCTTTCAACGTATAGTTTCCCTACAATTTTTAAGTAATTAATAATTTATCAGCAATTTAAACAAGAAAATCAAAATCACAAATTTACCACTGGGATAGGACATCCTCCCGGATTGGGAACACCAGCTAAACCTTCTACTTCCGCAAATATTGGACCAATGTTCTTATTTAAAGCGTCGCAAGCACCTTTACCTTTTAGTTGAATCAATTGTTTCTCAGTGTTTGTCTTTGTATTTTGGCGATAAACAATGACGTTGAACTAAAAATAAAATAAATAAATTCTTTAGATAAAAAATAATAATTTTAGCAAAAATATCTTGAAATAATTGATTTGGTATTCACTAGGTGGAGCTGGTTACGTATTTATTGAAAAAAGTTATTTTTGAAGTAATGAAAAATTCTTATGTATATAAATAAAAACAATAATTTTCTCCAAATTTCCAAAAAGTATATAGAATCTAAAATTATATAAATTATGGAACATAAAACATATTTAAATTACCGTATTTTCATTGCTCAAAGGCTTCAAAACATAAATAGTCCCACGAATTAATATCGCATCACCTTCATTTTTAACATGTGGAACAATCCTAATAGAGTGCGACGGATCTTTCCCAACTTGCACATCGCTCACTGTATATTTCCCACCCACACTCAACTCAACCATCAACAAAATCAAACAAACAAAAATACTACCATGCATTTTTTCTATATTTTATTTTATTTTTAGCTAAGTAAAATTCACTAATGATAGCAATACAAAAACTAACCACATTCATGCATTAACACAAATATAAATACAAGATTACAGCTGAAGATAACCTCTAGATAGAGTTATTATAAAAACATCAACGGTAATGATGATGCAATTAATTCCGCGATTAATCTTTCATTTCCTCGTGGATACGTATTGATTAAATCAATATTTCATACTTGGAAAACTTTCCTCCGCATAATTTCCTTATCATTATTCTAATGTGTATTTTTGTTTGTTTCAGAAGGATAATAATTATTTCAAGATGGCCGCCATGGAATCAATGGATACCATTGACGTCATTGAAGAAAGGTAGGTGTTTTGCTTGTTTTGCTTGTTATGCTTTTGTTTCGCGTTTGAGGTTATGTCTTGGTGTTTGTGTGTATTGGTGTGTTACACGATTATGTCATGGCGGTGTAATTCACTCACTCATTTTCGCTGGCAATCCGAGTTGATTGCATCTGGCTGCAAAGACGAGTACTCGCTGTGCGGTACGAATCGATCGCAGGGTCTTGAATCTCTCATTCAACTTTACCAATCTCACGATGGGAAATGTGAAATTTGCAGCGAAGCAAAACGATCAGGAATTAGGAGTGTAGTAATTTGCCATCTGACATAACCTTACAAATTATTGGACTTGTACATGAGTTTGTACATTACGCCATCTGTTGGGTATAAATCTACTAATTAATAACTACGATTTTGTTGGCGTAGTTTTTAGTGAAAATTGAATTGATTTTTATTTTCAACACTCTGAATGCGTTGATTTCATCAATCAGATTCACAATTTTATTTTAAAAAGGAGAGAAGTGCTAATAATGCACTTTAGTGCCACCTAGAATTCAATTATTTAACTATAACTATGATTAAATTACCATATAAACTTTCATCCCTTATTTAACTCCCTTAAGTTATTATGAAGTTATTATTTTTGATATTTTAATATTTATTCTCCTATTTTGGGCCTAGATGAACCCAAAAAATTAAAAATCATCAAAATCAGTCCAGCCGTTCTTGAGTTATAAGCGATGTAACTAACACAATTTTGTATTATTTAATAATAATAGTTAATTCATGATTATACAGGTCTTTTACTTGTAAATTTCTAATTTTAAGGCTAATAATCTATAGTAATACTAGCTTCAACCCGCAGCTTCGCTCGCGAATATCTAAAATAATGAAGTTGCTTCCGTACGCGTCTGTAGTCACAGAAGAAGTAACAATGAAGTAGAATGGCGGGAAGTTTTAAATGGCTGAAAGTATAGTCTGTGGAAGTATAGTGTACAGTCTCTATAGTGTAGTCAATTGGATTTGATGTTGACGTAGCTGTCGGTAATACAGTGTGATAATACAGTGTGATGGTACTATAGTACTTAGGTTTGAGCTTCATTGCTGGAATGCTAGATGGCGTTAAAGTAGTCAAATAGCCAGATGCAGAAGTATTATTGGCTAAACAATTTCTTTATTTTATTTAAAAAATAATTTTTATTATTAATTAAAAAGTAGCCTATAACCATTCGGGGACCACTAAGAATATGTGTACAAATTTTCATGATGATCGGTTAAGTAGTTTTTGCGTGAAAGTGTAACAAACATCAGGACTTTCGCATTTATAATATTAGTAGGGATGTTCAAAACCTATAAAATATTCTCAGCTATTAAAATGGCTTCCCCAAATCTATTTTTTTCTATAACACTGCAATTTCCGACAATGGCACATTTGTTCAAGCTTCCCTTCCCATTCTGTCACGCACCCCTCCATTATCGAATCCCGAGCCCATTCCCGAAATGTCCGCCTAGTCTTACACCAGCACTATCTACAACAATCCACATCGCATCATGGCCCATCTTCGGCGGCAATCTGTGCGGCGGGCAAGTGCGGAATCTAACACTTTTTTATTATCCGTCGCACACGCGAGAAAGGACAAAATTGCAACACCACCCTCAAGTCCTTTGTGAGGACAACACCACCTACCTACACACAATGTGTTTGTTTCCACAAGGGATTGATGCTCCTCTCACCGCCTGCCTGCGTGTTTTTTCTAGTGGCGTTCAATTCCGTTTCGTGTTAAGGTTTTGAAAAGGACTAAAAAGGACGAGGATGAGGTTGTAGTCGTAGCCTTGAAGTTGTGCAGTCGTGTACAAGAATCGAGAAGATCCTCGCACGGCGATTAACATTCCTTTTCTACTGCTGGAGATGTGGGTGTGTGTGGGTGTGGAGGGTTGCCTAACGTAATCGAATCTTGGCGCAGGTCTGAAGGGTGCGTTTAATTGCTCGCAACGTGTTTGGTTTTCTGGTTTGCGGCCGCGAGGCAAGCGAGCGAGGATAATCGAATTATCTGACGAATAACTCCTTATTCTCTCAACTTCATTCGCTTCGGCTGCAAACATTAGCACACAATCGACCCAAATCGGCATGGAACTACTCGTTAATTAGTTTTGAACCACTCACGGAATACGTAATACATTAATATTGTGTTGGTGTTTTCAATATATTTCAATGCTATTAAAATGGCGGATTAAAGTATTAACCTGCAAATTATAATCTATTTTGCAAAATATATAAAGTAATTTCATAGAAATAAACAGAATTTTTATTTTTATAAAATTTTATGGCTACTAAAATGGCGGAAATGTTTTAGAAACAATTTTTAGTATTAAAAAATAATTTTTCTTGAAATTATTTAGTTTTTATCATCAAATAAAACCATATAAATATGAAATTTATGATTTTTTTGAAAATTTGACATTTTGAGCTATTAAAATGGCGGAAATGCTTCTTTAACAATTTTTTTTTCATTTAAAAAATATTATTTTATTATAATTAGTTATATTTATCATTAACAAATCTATTAAAATGAAAAATTTATAAATTTTTAAAATTTGGTATTATGAGCTATTAAAATGGCTGTAAATTTATTGAAAACGCACAATTAACATACAATATAATGTCCAAATTAATCGAACATAACCTAGAACAATATAAAATTTGGAATATGAGGTTATAAAATATGACAGATTACAGCTATAAAAATGGCGGTAAAATCCGAAATAAATATTAATAAACAGCGTAAACAACGAGTTAGTGACGTCATAAACATAGATCACTCGATTTGCATATAAATAGCTTTCGACCACCGCTAACACAAAAAAATATATTTAAAAAAATACATAATCAAGTTTAATGCCTTTTTAAAATGGCGGCGATTACATCACGATTGGAATTTGTTGTCAGAGTTTTCAGTTTTTCGTTTTTATTTTTAATTTCGTATAGAATTGTATTATGGGAGAATGCAAACGTGCGTGCTCGCATCATAATTCCCGCTGGTCGCGATTTATATTGTTATCTATTTATATTTCATAATGTTTCGACGTTAAATTGTTGTTTGCTCAATAATAAATGCTCGCACCGCTTCCGGAGCGGCCGCATCCGCATCCTGTCCGCGTGTGTGCAACACAGCATTATTTGTTTTTGCATATTTCACGTGCGCTCGCGAGCTACGTGCATAATTTAATGCCGAGGCAAGTTTAACGCAATTCAAGAATAAACAAACCATACAGTATAAAATCATAGCGAATCATTTTCGACGTGATGTGTTTTTTTTTTTTTCGGGCACAAACATTTTGTATTTTATTTTGCACGTTAAAAACTTTAATCGCTAATGGATTGAGCGCCATTTATTTATAGCTGCAGTGAGAAACTGAACGAAAATCCATTTTGAGCGTGATGCTGTTGTTGTTTTTTTCCCGAAGCGCTAATGTCGACAACCGGCATAGCGCCGCTAATAGCGTATGCAACACAATATGCATTCGGAAAAAACAAAAGCACAACGCGGGCAGTAATGCAACGGTAACGTATCGTAACGTTCGTCCGAGCAATATTGAATTTCGTTGCCATCCACCGTTGGCATTTCCGGTTCGCCGCCGAAAAACAGGCTTTTTCTATTATAAATCTAGCCGCCCCCAAAACGCCCGCCGGCATGATAGCGTCGCAAAATAAAACGCCATGCGAGGCGAAAAAGGTGAAAAATCGGCGTTATTTATGTATTCATGAAAACCGGAAAAGTTTTTTGTGACACTATCTTTATGTTAACTTAAATTGTATTACCATTTTTGCCACGTCATTTGAAACATTCCCAAACAAAAATACAAAACCGGAAAACCGGAAACTTCATATAATTTTCATATAATATTCATAAAATACAAAATATTTTTATATAAATTATTTTTACCAGTCAAAATAATTTATTTTTGATAAACCGGAAAACCGGAAGTGAATGAAAACAGACTTATTTTAATAGTAGTACATTTTATTTCGATTTTCTTACGCTCAACAATAGTCTGTATTTCACCTCTCCCAGGGAGTTCATTTCCGGGCGAAGTTTTCCGGCGAGCGGAATTGTTGTTGAATAAAGAATGGGCGCGAAGTGGCGCGCGTCGAGTGTGTCGCCAAAAGTTTCCGAGTGTGAATTTAACTCGCTCCCGCCGGCGGGCACATACGTCTTATTCAGGCGCGCGCGCCTACCCCGCACCGCCGCCCCCTTGACACTCCCGCGGCGAAAAGCCACCCGAAAAACGACAATAAAAAATGCTCGACACTTCCAGCGCGCGGAAAGGACGGAAAACCGCCGTCGAGGAAATTGTCTTCATTATGGTAACAAGGACACACTTGGTACCAACCCTTAAATTATACAGTGTGTCAAAATTTATCATTTTAAAAGTTTTACATACAATGTGTTCAAAAATCGGAAAATTTAATTTTTTTCATGTTTTGATGAATTGTATGCTGGATGTAATAAAATTTGTCCCTTCTCGACCCACTTCATCCCCGTTTTTCCGGGAACAATTTTCCACAACATCTGGAGACTTGAAGTGGACTATGGCAATGTATGAACTTCTTTTGTTTCTCGGCCGAAAATTTTATTCCTCTTCGTCCTGGGGGGTAGTTTTTCACCTTGGTCCGCAAACGGTCGCTGGGTCGTTGGCGAAACGACGCGAGAGCTTAACACCCCATCGACTCC